CCAGGATCCACTGGGGGAGAAGGATCCTCAATCTGGGTATGTGATGCAGCCATTTAACTGCACTGTGTCGAACTGCAGGGGTGGTGCATGTGAAAAACGGGAAGAGAAGACATTAGAACACAGCATTTTTGCTGGTGAAAATTCAGTGGTGGGGGTCGGGTGGTGAACGGTGGTGGCAGAGAGAAGCTGGGCTAATGGTCTCAAATGTGTAGGTGCCGGAAGTCCATTCTGAAAGCAGGCAAGTCAGTGTTTGGCCTTGAGTTCTGAGTGGGGGTGGGGAGAGGAGGCAGGCTGGGGCCAGATCACATAGACTTCCATGGGAGATGCTAAGCAGAGGCTTCTTATCCTATGAGAGGAGGCTGCTTCTCTGGATGTGTGTAAGAGACAGCTGGGAAGTTCTTTCCTGAGAAGATCCTTCTTGCTGAGGCTTCTGACCCAGCCCTTCGTTTTTCTCCATTTTAGATAATTGCTCACTGTACCCAGGGCAGTTGAGCGTGGATCTCCAAACTGCAGTTCCAGGGACCCTATTTCCCAAACCCCAAATCTGGGCCTGAGGTCTTACAAGTCCCCAAAGAGCTGTGGGGATTATGAAGCAGGATATATAAAATAATTAGGGCTGTCCAGAAAACTAGAGCCGGGAGCAGAGAAGCCAGGGCCCACTCCCATCTCCCCGCCCTGCTGTGTTCCCCTGCCTCCCCTGTCAGAGGGTTAGGAGCAGGCAGCCCTAGGTGGCCTCACGTCTCTCAGGCATCCTCCGCTGGTGCCTCTGTGACAGCAACGTGCTGAGAGAGCACTTGTGAGGCATGGGGGCAGCAGCGGGGGCAGGGGTCAGGGTGCTTTTTAATTTCTTGTTAGCGATGACAGCTGTAGCAGTCAAGCAATTAAGGAGGAAGACTCCCCCAGGATGCCAGAGGGCCAGCTCCCCGCAAGCCCCCAGCTGCACACAGCTTCCTCCCTTCCTCCCTTTTCATTATACCCCCATATGCATGTTGGTGCTCACACACACAGGCTTCCTCTCTCTGGGCCCAAGAAGCTGTGGGCGACAATTGTGGGGGAGGAAAATGTTGTGGAGGGGTCCCTTCCTCTGGGCCAAACAGAACAGGGGGAGGCTACTGGCTTTAGAGGATGCCCTCTCCATCATCCTCTTGGGGGGATGGTTGGACCTGTGGAATGGGGGTCGACTTTCTTTGGAGCTGGTATTGAGGTTGGGGGCATATAAATGACCCATGACAGCCTTCCCTGTACTCCTAGAATGAGTGACCACCCCCAGCCCAGCCTGACCCTCGGTGTGGGAGAAGGGTCTCAGGTGGGGAGGACAGGGAGGAGCTTTTCTCTTATTCTGTTAAGATTTTTGGGGCACTCAACACCCCACAAATTTCCTCTCCATCATCTCACTGGGGATTCCTTCTGGCAGCCTACCTTATGCTGCCCATTTTATGGATCCTTGTTCTGTCCCCAGCTGTTGGGGGAGGGTACATATGTTCAATGCCATTCTTTTATTAACATAGTCCTGCTGCATGGGTGGGGGGTGTTTTTGGATGCAGGAGCAAATCTCTATATCCCAGTCCAAACATCTCACTCTAACCACCAGCTGACACTTGAAACCCCACCATTAACATTTGCAACCTTTAAGATTATCTCCTTGTTAAGTTGCAGATACCTCTGGGTAGGGAAACCCTTTATCACAAACAAAAGGTCTGACAGCTGTTATTGATAAAGGAGTAACTGGGGTGGCAGCATGCTGTTCAGTATTCCTAGGGATGGTGAGGGGTTGGGGGCAGTAGGTTTATGGAATATAGTAGATACACTTCACAGCTTTCCCCTGCTTCTGTGTAAGTCTTTAAAGCATGGAAAAATGACAGCTCAGGCTGGTCTTCTTGATCTGCACGGAACTAAAGCCTTCAAATTCTCACAGTCATGACCATTAGCATCAGCAGCCTGATGTGGACATGGAATTCTCATGATGCTACAAGATGTTCAGCACTCAGCCCTTGCTCTCAAGATGTTCACAGCCTGGTGTGGGGCACCCAGATCACCTGAGTGACCAATGAGGAGCCTGTGGAAGTTTTAGAGAAAGGGATTGCATGTGCCAAAAGTAATCCTGGTGGGATTAGCCAGGTGGCAGTGACCAGGGAGAATTTGAGGCAGGGAAGAGGGGATGGTGAAGCTCTTTGGGAGTCCTTGTCTTCACACAGGTGAGAGCTGAAGAGGCTTCAGTTAAGCTGATTGTGGTGGGAACACAGAGGCTCGGGCTTATGGAGAGGCATTTTGAAATATGAGTCTTTAGGACTCCAACTATGGGGAGGTTGGGAGAGGGATGAATTGGGTGTGAGTCTAAGGTTCACAACTTGGGTGCTTCAGTGATGGTGGTGTTCACTGGCAGTGGAAGGGGGAGTCTGGTGGAGCTGTGTTTCGATGGAAGGTGAGTGCTTTTTCAGCATGTGGCATTTGAAGGTAAGTCATTCTCTTCAGAACAGGGCAAGACTGAAGGCAGGGCATGCATCACACAGAGTGCAACTTTTTCTTAAAGAATGAATACAAGTATCAGCAGTCCTTCCGAGTGGTAAGTACAAGGGGGCTAGACAATTTTCCCAAATAACTTGCTTTTGGTCAGAATGTTTTATCCATTTATGGAAGGTAATGGAACAGTTCCTGGGTGTCCACTGGTCACCTCACCCAGTCTTGTACAAGGACATGTAGACTCTTGAGTTTATGCCTTCAGGAAGCTTACTATCCAACTGGGGTGATATTAAAGTAGAACTCATAAAAAGGCTATATACACCCATGGCTCATGTAAGGACATTAACTTTTTTATTCACTATTCTATCCCGGGTTCCTAGAATAGTGCCTAATGCATAGTAGGTGCTCAATAAATATTTGATGAAAGAATGATTGGATTCATTTTCCTACTTACTGAGAGATTTTGAAATGGAAAGGTTATTCTAGAGCAGAAAATAGTTGAAAATTGTTCCTGTATTACCTGTATTGTAATATTTTAATTTGCAACTTAGAATTTTTAGTGAATTAAAAAACCTTTAACTAGAAAAAAGTGAACACAAAGTAAGCAGAAAAAAAGAAGTGATAAAAATCAGAGAAAAATGAATGAAGTAGAAAACAGAAATATATTGAGAGGCTCAATGAAGCCAAAAGCTGTCTTTTCAAACACATCAATAAAACTGATGAACCTCTAGCCAGACTAATCAGGAAAAAAAAGAGGACACACAAATTACTAATGTCAAAAAAGTGATGACTTCATTATAGATTATACAGATATTAAAAATAATAAGAGAATATTATGAACAATTTCTCCAATAATTTCTCTAAACTTAGATGAAATAAACAAATTCCTTGCAAGACACAAATTACAGAAGTTTACTCAAGAAGAAATAGATAGCCTGAATAAACATATCTATTTTTAAAAAACTAGATTTGTAGTTAAAAGCCTTCCCACAAAGAAAACTGCAGGCCCAGATGGCTTTACTGATGACCACTGTCAAACATTAAAGGAAGAAATAATATCAAGTCTACATAATTTTTCTAGAAGAATAGTTCCCAGCTCATCCTATGAAGCCAGCATTACTCTGATACCAAAACCAGACAAAGAAATTACAAGAAAACTGTAGACCAATATCTCTCTTGAAGGTTGATGCAAAAATTCTCAACAATTTTTTTGCAAATTAAATCTTATCTGCTCTTTCTCCCTTTATCATCTATATCTATGTCTATACCTACATGTACATGTACATCTATATCTATATGGTAATACATAATGACCAAGTGGGATTTATCTTAGGAATGCAAGGTTTGTAACATTAAAAAAATCAAGCAATGTAATTCATCATAATACCAAATTTAAAAAGAAAAAATGATTACCTTAATAGACACAGAGAAAGCATTTGATATACAATCCACTTTGATGGATTTGATATCCAAAATCCATTAAAAAATTTCAGCAAACCAGGAATAGAAAGGAACTTCCACAACCTGATAATGAGTCTCTACAAAAAACGTATGATTGTAAAAGACTGAATGCTTTCCCTCCAAGATCAGGAATAAGACAAGGATGTCCATTCTTACTATTTCTATTCAACATTGTACCAGATGTTCTAACCAGTGCAGTAAGGCAAGAAAAATAAATACAGGGCATTCAGATGGAGGAGGGAGAAGTGAAGCTCATTATTTGCTGACAACAGATCATCCGTGAAGAAAATTTGATGGATATACAAAGCTACTAGAATTAATAAATGGATTTAGTAAGGATACAAGATACAAGATAGATATAGAAAAATCAAGTGTATTCCTATATTTTAGTAACAAACAATTGGAAATTGAAATTTAAAAATAATACTTTTAAAAATGATTATCCATTGCACGGGGCATTCAATTCTTCCATTCTGGGAAATTTTCTTAGACTATGTCATTTCTGATGTCTTTCCCTTAGTCTCTCTGTTTCTCCTATTTGGATGTCCTATTATTTGGATATTGTTGCCTGAACTGGTCCTTTAATTTTGTTGTATAGTCATTCACGTTTTCCAATCTTTTTGTTATTTTCCTTCTACTTTATGGATATGCTTCAGTTTTATCTACCACACTCCCATTGAATTTTTTATTTCTGCTATCACATGCACCTCTCTCTGGCTGTCTTTTTTTGGAAAGTACTATTGTTTTTGTTTCATTTTTGCAATATTTTTCATTATGATTCTCGGAATGTAATAATAATGCATTGCTCTTTTTAAGGTTTCTTCTTGCTTTATAGTCTTGGCTTCCTCCAAGTCACTTTTTGTTTTGTTCTGGTCTCTGTCTTCTGTGTTAGAAGCTTTCCTCAGATGTCTCATAATCCTTGGTTGTTTGCTTATTTTTATGTGCAGAGACTGAAAAGCTGGTTGGAAGCTGTGTGTGTGTGTGTGTGCGCATGTGCACACATTTGCATATGGTCACTAGGGTGAGCTGACTGAGGTATTTCATTTTGAAGTCTCTGATGTTAATGTCTTTCCTTTCAGGTTGGTCAGGTTCCACAGAGATGTGCCTTCCAGTTTCCTGCCCAGAGGTCAAAGGACAGTGTTCTGGGTCTCAGCATCCACTGTGGGAACATTTTCAATAAGATATTTCTGCCTTCAGTGTCCTGGGGTTCTCTTGTCCAGAGACCCTGTTTTCCCCTCCCTAAGGGATAAGCCTCTAGTCATGCCTGGCTATGTGAAGAATCTGAGGATCTGACTGCTTTTTAAGAACACTTCCTACCATCCTCTTTATTAATCTCCTTCAGTCCTGCTCCAAAAGTAACTAGCATCACCAATTTCTGAGCCTTTTGGGGATTCTGGAGTATAGATTCAGCAGTTACAACTTTTCCCACCACCTGCTTCCTCTTTACTGCTCTCCCACCTGCTTTCTAGCTTCCAAAATTTTGTTGCTGTTATCTCTGCTCTCATTCTTCCTGTCCTTGTGGATGTATATCTTAAAAAACAAAATAAAAAAGAAAATAAAATTAGAAAGCCTTTAACTGTGCTTTGGTGAAGTTTCAGGAAAAAGTAAAAGTGGAGGCAGGTATTCAGGCTGCCACCTTTTCCTGCAAGTCCTTTAATCTATTATTAGAAGCTTTTATGATTACCAATTCCATGTAATCATACAAAAAGACTAGTAGATGTGCTCTGCTCAGGGGCTAACCTGTGCATTCCAAGAGGATGGGAATTGAGTCAGTCTGTTTTTTTGTGGTATTTCATTCCCCAGCACAAGGCCTGGTATGTAAGAAAGTATCAATAAATGTTTACTAAGTTTATGAATCAACAAATGAACTACATTCAGAGCCTTTGCTACATTATAAATTGTCCTCAATGATGTCAAGACTTCATCTGAATAGTATGTGGAAATAGCCAAAAGTTGTTTATTGCCAAGACATGTGACCTAGGAGAGTGGGCTAAGTGAGAAGATAATAGCAACACCTTTTTCTGGTCCGAAACAAGGTGTGGCACCAAATTATGAGATTTATTTCCTTGTTTGGTGTACAATGAAGTCTGAGGTCAATTTACAAAAAGAGGTAAAGTCCAGAAGTGTTTTGAGTGAACTTGGTTTCATTGGCCTAGGGCCCATTTTTTGGATGTATAGGATTTTGCTGGTAACTTGGAAATAAACGGGATATGTTTTGGGGCAAGCCATGTAGGTTGCAGAAGGTTTTGCCTTCCTTGTGAGAAAACAAAGTTGAACTAGATGAGCTTTCACTATTTTCTTGGCCACAGAGTTTGATGATTCTAAATCTCTGGAGGCTGAGGTATGACTGGAGGGTCAAGAGAATGCACAAGGCTGATTCTCAGGAACACTTATTCTAGAAGGCGGTGGGGTGGGCGGGGGGAGGGTGGAGCCTCTGGCTGCCTCTACCTGGCTTGAAGCACAACATAACAGCCCCAAACGTTTACCAGGCACTCACTCTGTGCTAGCCGCTGCGCTTCACATGTCAGCTCATTAGGTCCTTGCCCTGTGGAGTTGATAGTCTTGTTTCTTCCATTTTCCAGGTAAGGAAACTGAGTCGCAGGGAGAGGAATGTAGTGTAGACATTCCAAGTCAGTTGAGCCCCAGGATAACATAAGGAAGATGACAAAGGAGGATGGAGGCCTAAAGTGAATATATTCCCTATGACCAAATTTTATTATAACAGCTGGAGTTTGGTGGGGGTATTTGTGAAAATTAGTCAGTGAGTGGGTTTTTGGTGGGTCTGCTGTTTAATATTTGCTGGCTGATCGGCAAAAATTGATAATTAAATGTTGTCAAAATAATTATCAAGATATTGCTAAATTGTTGATCAATAAAGGGAGACAGAAATAAAAAGTTCTATAGGCAGAATAGGGGCTAGGATTAACTGGAACATTTTGGTGATTGACTGATCAAGGTTAGTGATTTTTCTGACCCACTCTGAGATGAATACCTTTTCAACCTCATTTGCTGAAAATTTTTCTAAAACCCTTGGGAGTAAGGCAAGACCACCCGGAGGCCTCTTTCTGCCATGCCTGAGGCTCTCTGGCCTCACTCTGAGCAGTGTATGATGGGACTTGACCTCCAGTGGGATCTGATTTGAAACCCTGAAAGTGTTTGACTGCAGTTCTGGTATCATTTTGCTTTATTGTTACTAACTTCTTTGAGCATAAAAAGGACATTCTGGTTTTAGGTTCATAGTGGTTAAGAGTGCAGGCTTTGGAGCCAGACAGACGTGAGTTTAAATGCTGCTCTCCTGTTAATTTGCTGTATGACCCTGGGCAAGTTACTTACATTCTCCAAGTTATAGTTCTACAGTTATAATCTATTTCAGAGCGTTATTGTGGGGATTAGTGAGTTAATGTAAGGCACTCAGTAGGAATGCAATCAAAGGCAGTATTTAGCATTTTTATCATCATCATCACAAAGAGTCTACATGTGGATGTCTACACCTGCAGGCCTATATTAATCCTTTGGCTGGAGTGGAGGTGCAGTATAGATCAGTGAAAAATACAGTCCCTCCTATGTAAGTGCGCTTGGAGAGAGAGATCACACATGCAAACACGCACGCACACACTCCCTCACAAAGTTAAATGCATTGAATAACAATTCAATGCTGCCTGGAGAGGGGTAGACAGCTCTTGCTGTAAGAGCTCTGGGGGAACCACTGAGCAGAAGTGGTCCAAGAGATCTTATTTTCAGAGCTGAAACTTCATGGCTGGTGATGCCTAGGCCAGGATGAAGAAATAAGCCACATGTGTTTGAGGCTGTCAGTGTTTGGCTACAGTGGAATGTGTGTGTGTAGGAAGGCAGTGGGAATAAGGCTGAAAAGTAAGCTGGGACCACTCACAATAATAATGTTATTAATAACAATGGGAATCATAATCAATGTTTATTTAGTTCCTACTGTATGCTGACCAGGTGCTTATGCTACCCCTTTCCATATACTATGTCATTTAATCCTCACTATAACCCTAGTAGGTATTATAGATGTAGGTGTTATTACCATAGGTTTTCAATGAAACTAAGGCTCAGAGAGGCTGTGTAACTTGCCCAAGGACACACAGCTAGAAACTGGCAGACCCACAATTTGGAAGCACAAATACATACACAGAAACCGACCCAGGCAGACACACTTGGAGGCCCAGGCTCGGGTGACAGACAGTTGTCTTTCTCCTCATCCTTTTATCCCCCTCCCCTCTAGCTGGGTTAGGGGCTAGTTCTTCCTTTGAGGGGGCCCGAAAGTGACCCCCTCATTCACCCCACCTCTGTCTCAAATATTCCTGTGGCTTTGGTCCTCCAGACAGGGAGCCCAGAGGGCAAGGGAGTGAAATGACAGGGTACAGCCTTTAAGGAGGCACTCCCTGTCAGCACCAGCCTTGAACTCAAGACTGAGCAGCTTCTTAAATTTTCTGCCCTAGCTGCCTCCCTCACCTCCCTTATCCTAGTTCAGACCCTGCGTGGGGTGGGGTCTTGGCAGCTTTGCTGTGTGGGCGAAGAAGTCCCTCCTCATTCCAAGGTCAGGCAGTAGTGCCCCAGGCCACTGCTCTCCTTTCTCTCCCCAAATAAACAGTGGCATAATCTCAGATTGGTCTCACACAATCTTTCCACTGTTCAAACCCACCCTTCTTAGGTGTGCCCCCTCAACCCAACTTGTCCTGGCACCTCCAAGCAGCCCCCCTCCCAGGCCTGGCCCACATTCTCCTGTCTCTAGTGGGGTGTCTGGCTGCACAGTCTCCAGCACAATGCCCCCTCCCCCAGGGGCAGTCCCAGGGGGCACCAGGCGAGATCCAGCTGGGTATGCCCCCGGGGCTTGTAAGTCCAGCGCTGCTCTCCCGCGCCCTCTAGAGGCTCGGGGTGGCAGTGGGTGAGGCACCCTTGAGGGGTTCTGATGGAGGAGGGGACCCTGGGCTTCCAAGAATGTGTCCACAGTCAGACAACAGCTCATCTAAAGCACACGGTGGAAGGTGCCCAGCAAGGTCGTGCTGTCGCCTCAGGAGAAGGGGGTTCAGGGCTCCCCAGCTGTGTCTGGGTGTGGAGGGTCCTTGCTTCCATGGGCCAGAGAAAGAGCTCCCTAGCCTGTGCCCAGCCAGCCCAGCAGGAGGGCCACTTTCCATGTCTCACCTGCCCCCTGGGCAGCTTTAAGGAGGCTGGAGGTGGTCCTTGCCAGCCGTGGGGTGCATGGGGATGACTGTGGCCCTGCCCTCAGGTAGCCAGGTATCCCTGGAGGAACTTTAGGCCAGAATGGGAAAAGGGATGAGGAGTATGTCTCAAGCCGGCTCTGTGAAGATGGCAGGAGAAATCTTCCACTAATGGTTGCATAGGACAGACAGAGAAGGGGGCAGTGCCATGGAGAGAGCCTGGGAGGGTGGGGGCAGAGTGGACAGAGGTGTGTAATCAATAAACCTTTCCAGGCTGGAAGTTTGGGTGCTGGAGACCTGTGCCTTCCGAGGGCACTGGATGGGGCTGACCCAGCTTTCTAGTAATATGTACTTGTAAATCCTTTGAGGAGGAGCACATTTGCTCACCTGGCCCCATCAAGGTACCCTGGCCTCACTTCATATTGTCCATTATTTGGCTGAGGAATTTGGGAGGATTGGTTCCACTTTTTTTCTCATCCTTCCCTGTCCCTACTCCCCACTGCAGCAAAGAGGAAGGTGGATAGAAGGAAAGAGGGACTTCCTTCCTGGGTGGTTTCCCTAGGAGACCCAGAGATTCCTGAGTTTGGGAAAGCGGAGAAGGAGGGACCATGGAATGAGTCACAGAATTGTCCCACCTGTCCAAGTGCCAGGCCAGGAGTAGAGCAAGGACAGACCCTCTCAGGCCTTCCCAGATGCCTGAGGTGAGTGGTGGGAGTACCACCCAGAGAAAAAGCAGAATTGGCCTGAGCACCCCAGCAGTCCTGGGGGAAAGGAGGGTCCTTGTCCTCACAGTCTGCCCTGTGGACACCTTAACTCAGGCAGGTTGGTGTCATCTCGACTCTGGGCTCCCCTGCCCAAGCTGATGCCCAGCGGAGGCAGAGGCCCAGCTGTAGTGAGGTTCTGTCCTGCCTGGAGTGGGGCTGGGGGGTACCCGGGGCAAGGAGTCCCAGCCTGAGGCCCCCTCTCATCCCCTTCTACCAGAGAAGGGTCTTTCTCCCCATTTCCCACAAACACTTGCTCCGCCACTTGACAGCCTTCTCATTCCATTCCCCTGCTGCCCTGCTCTTGTCCCCACCACACCCCTGACAAATTCCTTCCCCACTTCAGCTCTCAGCATCTGACCTAGCCCCTCTCCCAAATGGGGGACCTGGGAACTGACACCCTGTCTCTCTCTCTTACTGCCTCTCCCCTTCATCTCCCCTCTTTCTCTCCCACTCCCTGACATTTCGTTCATGCCAGGAATGGAACTGGATAAACATCCCACTGCTACCATCCCCTTAAGCCACCCAGAGAAGCTGAGTTTGGTAGGCCTCTGCTTATCTAATTTGAATCCTTTTTGCTGCAACCCCAGTAGCTCTGGTTGATGACAATAGGCAAACTTGGG